AGCGGTCCTAAAACTAGTTGGGACAGTGTCAGTTGTAAGCGATAAATTAACAAAATCCAGCTCTGTAGGCCCCAGACATGGCCAGTGATCTTTAAAAATTTTAGCTGGCTAATTTCTACAGAGGTAGCTGGAGATGAGGAAGTAATTTTTTTGTTTTATCGCATCTATTTTACTACATCAGACAGATTGCTACTTTTGAGCAAGTTACAGTATCAGAAAGAAATCTGGGACTGTGCTTGTTGTTACTGATTGAACTGTAAGTCAGGGTGCAGACCTCTTCAACCATCAGTCTAGTATTATACTTACATACTGTGGTAAAAATAACAAGGCATCTCTATAGTGGGCAATCATTAATTTGTACCAGCCATATGGGGCACTATATCCAACGAAGGTTAAAGTCAAGGGCAACTGGACTTGGTTGAAGATACTGGAAGACGTTTCGTCCCTCATCCAAAGGACTTCTTCAGTTCTGACTGACTGGCAGGGAAACTCAGCTATTTAACCTCAGTGGGGTCGTTTGCCAGGGTCATCGATACCGCTGGTTCGTTGGTGTTCCTTGTTGCTGTGACGACAGTCATTACAGTCGTTAAGACTACCTGTGGCCAAGACTGAACGACCATCGTTGGTATCTTCACCTGAGGCCAATAGGTTACATTTGTTGAGTTTCCTGGGAAGTGATGAAAGGACCGCATTGTAAGTGGGGGATAAGTGGTGGCGTAGACCCCCTCCTCTGTTCAATGACAGCTTCTCAGCCCTGGTGTAGATGGCTTCCTTGACACCTCTTTCAAACCATCCATCTTCTCTGTCTAAAATGTGCACCTGGTGGTCCTCAAACGAGTGTCCTCTGTCCTTGATAGATGTAAGTAGACTGCAGAGTCTTGACCTGAGGAGTTGGCCCTTCTGTGTATGGTGCACTATGTTTAATGATTGGAATAAACGCAGTTAAGTATGTATTTATCTGTAGTTGTCCACGTGAAACACTGGTTAAGAGACTTGTATAGACATATAACACCTTCATTATTAAGTAAATTCCCAGGTCTCCCCAGTGTGTACTAAATGTAAGATGTAAGTTACACACTGACTCTTTCGTATCTTGTTTTTTTTTGGTCTAGTCCCATGGTTAAATATTTTGGGAAGGTATTTCAGCAAAAGTAAATTACATTCCCCAGCGCAGCTTTTCTCATCAATATTTTATATTTAATATATGAGGGGACATTGGACTTGTAGAAATTGGGGAATTGGGGATACACCTGTTGTTTGCGAGATATGTCTGAAGGCTTGCAAGATTGGAGAGGAAAGCAGAAAAAATGTTTTGCTACTCAAAATTCCATTCATTTTTACCTTTTCACTCCCTGAAAATAATTTAATAAAGCCGGGAAAGAAATCTGACTGGTTGGGAACCACTGGTGTATGATAATAACCTAGTAATTCCTTAACAACCTTTCTCTTTTTTCATGCTGAATAATGTGAGCTGACTTAATGGTTGAAGCAACAATAGCCCAGGCAACACTCTTCAGAAATCCTCTTCCACTTTATTGACTCTTCTTCTCTAACCGCAGCGCTCTGCTACCAAGGCCCCCTGTTATTCATTTAGCCTCTCAGTCCCAACTTCACTGATTTCTATTACTATAAGCAAGTCTTTGTGCTTTGTAATCTAACCGATAGTAGTCTGTGGGCTGCACATGTCTGAACAAAGCTTAGTGTAAATTATGTTTTAACTATGATCTCAAGATAATCTATGTCATTGAGATTTTCTTCCCCTTAATTCTCCGTTTATTGTGAGAGTGACTATTTCTTCTGGCTGCCAAATTGCGTTGCCGCCCCTTCTACCTCTTTTTTGTTTTTTTGTTTTTTTACTACTCCCCTCTGGGTCAAAAGGTCATAGATGTGCGCTCACAGGGTCAGCTGGGAAGTCTCAGATCCTGCAGAAGCCCTAAAGACATCACAAAGAGCTGCAGTTAGCCCCACAGTTTGACCAAACCCCCCCTGCATCACCACCACAACCAGTGCGAGCCCTGCTCTCAGACTGCACGCTTATCAAAGAGTTCATTCACACCCCCTCAGCACAGTTTGAGACTCAGAGAGGAACACAGTGATTTACTGGACCTCTATGGCACTTTAAGGTTGTACAGGGTTAAACTTTGTTCTGAGAGAGAGCTTGGTTCTTCACCTTCCCACAGACCACAGCCGTGCAGTGCCACATGCTCAGGTCTGCGTTCCTGTGTGTTAAAAACAACACAGAAACCACCGCATTGACTCCCGGCGGTGCCCCCAACCTACGTCTCCATGCCCAACACGCCATGCTTAAATGACCAGGCAACGTAACGGCCTTTACATGCAAGCGTTTTTGCGGTCCCCACAAATCCCTGAACATGATATACATGGAACGCAAAGCAAGCATTTTATGAATATGTTTCTGTGTGCAGCTGTCATGGAGCTCAAAAACACTTTCTGGGTTTGTGTTGTTTTTTTAAAAATCCCTGTACCTTGGTACAGTCAATTTAAGTTCTGACGACATTTTCCAATAAAGAGAAGGATTTTTATGCCATTTAAACCAGAGATGCATTCACCTTCTGAGTCCGCTTTGATGCCCTTATGAAGTGCTCTTCACAGTAATGCACATGTACTATGAGGTAAATAAGAAACTATCACTTCAGCCCTTAAGTTTTGTTGACATTGGCGTTACTTCATAGCAAAATCAACCAACCAGTCTTTTTTTAGAAAAGTAAAATTTAACTCTTCTCATGGGCCTGGACATTTGAGGAAGGTGGCAAAATACTGAAATGATCATAAAACATCCTTAATTGGTGAATTAAGCATTTAATTCACCAATTAAGGATGTATTTCATGTTTTTTTTTTTTTGTCCTATGGACATGCATAATCAAATCCTTTTGTTTACCAAAAAGTCATCCACAGACAAAGAAATGTACAGAATGTTATTCTACATGGCGTTGATACTTATGTTTGAGGTCAGGCTGTAGATCCCATAGAGATCTTACTCCCTGTCAATATGTTAAAACTCCTGCAACAGAAATCTAAACAGACTTATCTGGAATTTGAGTAGTGCTGCACATAAAGTACTGTCACAGATATACAAGACATACAGTCCATTGTGTTTAGACACGTATCCACTACTCGAAACGATAGGGTGAAGTAGGATAGACAGATAGTGCTCCATACCATGGGTAGACCCAGCATGTTGCTGACAAACATTTCTCCAACAACACGCCTTCATTCTGTGATTGGTTTGGAGTGAACATAGCAGGTAATTGGCAAACTGCTACAAATCCTTAAACTCTTATATCAAAATGTGAAAGGAGTGAGTTAATGTGACGTCTTGAATCACAACAAGCATGCAAAGAGCTTTTCATCTCAAAGCCATTGTAGCTACTAGTCACAAGCTTGTTTAATCTTTCAAAGCTTTCTGCGGGTAAAACTAAATGCAGGAGAAGATGAGCCCACTGTTTCTTAAATCCCTTCCTCAAGTCATCAAGATATTTATTGCTCTGTTGATTTGAGCACTTGTGTTCTATAAATATCATTATCTCAACTGCATCAGCTACATCTTTTGTGCATTGAAGTGGGTGTTGTCAAAAACAGCATTCCTGTCCCGCCTAATGTCTGTTTGAGCCAGGACTGAAGGCAACTGTGCATTAAGTGCCATTAAAGTAACCGGGCCAATACGGTGAGTAGTCAAAACATCTGTGCAAACACTGGAAGGACAGGCTATTGTTGCTTCAAATTTAATTAGAAGTGTGGTTCGACACCGTGCAGACACCTCTATCACACAGGAGAGAATCAAGTCCAGGGTGTTATCACTGCTACGAGTAGGTAGTATGTACAGACTGAGTGAAACCAAAAGAATTAATAACTGCCAAAAAGGCTTTACTTGGAGGGTCAAAGGCCGTGTTTATGTTAATATAGAAGTCCCCGCAGCTATTAATCAAAATCCAGTAATAAGTTGTATTATACGATTCCCGGCATAATATTTAGATGCTGTGGTAAAAATAACAAGGCATCTCTATAGTGGGAAATGATCAATTAGTACCAGGCATAGAGGCCACTATTTGTAATAAGCTAAATCTATATTTATCTGTAATTGCAGGCAAAACACTATTTAAGAGACTTGTGTAGCCATATAACGCCTTCATTATTAAGAAAATTAAATTCCCAGGACTATCCATTGCACTAAATATAAGTCACACACTGCCTCCTTTGTATCTTGTTTTTTCTTTTTCTTTTTTGGTCTTCCAAAATCTTTTTGGGACAATATTTCAGCAAACATTGATTACATTTTCCAGTGCACTATAAATCTTTACCCCTTGCTTTTTCTTATCAATATGTAATATATTTAATATATGAAGGGACACTGGACCTGTAGAAATCTGAATTAAAACTTTCAGGGAAACTTTTGTTGTTTGCGAGATAAATCTGAAGGGTTGCAAGATTGAACAGGAAACCAGAAAAAAATGTTTTACTACTCAGAATTGCATTTTCTTTTCAGATTTGATTGATGATTTTTACCTTTTCAGTCCCAATAAAAATCATTTTAATAAACTGAAAAAAATCACTCATCATCATCTCTTGTGCATTAAAGTGGGTGTCCTACCTACTGTCTATGTCTGTTTGGTGGGGAGGGGAATGGAGGGAGCAGGGAGTGTTTAGGGTCTGTTGTACAGTAATTGGGTGTAAAACAGGTGGTGCTCTGTTGACACTGCAGAGAAGCATGTGAAAAATGTGCTGCTGCCATGCAATCACAAAAGGAAAAGGCTGGCAGTTGACTTAGACATTTAATCACTGTATTGGGTGATAAGTAGAGGATCAAACGGAGGCACGAAAAGCCTGGAATAACAGGGAGAGCCACCTGAAGCCCCACAGAGGAGGGTTCCTGGTGGGCAGGCCAAAGCACTGACAGAGCTGGTAGCTGCTTATGACACATGGCACACAAAGCAGGAATCTGAAGATTCAGGAGCTCTATGGACTCTTGGAAGTCTGGATGAACATCTCTCCATTTTTGTTTTCTGGATTCATTATTTTCTTTCTCTCCACACGGGACATATATTTCTTTTGTACTGTTCAAATTTGTTTAGACTACTACATTATGGCACTGTAATAGGATGATCACTGGGACATCCTGTTCTTCTTAGTGTCAATTTATGACAAAAATACATCAGAAAAAGCAATCACCAGTGTGCAGATGACAGTTACTTTAGGAATGTTCATCACGTGTATGTATACAAGGACAAGTGGCCAGCGCATTTGACAGTGACATGAAGGCTCTTAGATATTTTATCAAAGCAAGAAAATAACTGTCTTCTTCAAATGAGCTGAGCACACTAGAAGAACACGCCTGTTGTTCTAAGGTGATAAAGATGAGATACTTGATAAAGTTTCTGTCTCCACAGAAAAAAAACAATGCATCACTTTAAATGTTAAGAGACACATAATTTGCCATTTTTAAAAGCACAGTTAGATTATCCCCACACACAGCGCGCCGGTGATCAGGGATCCAGTTACCAACTTCGCCGACACCGGGCCACGTGACTCAGGTCCTCCTCATTTTAAAAAGAGCTGCAACCCAGCATTTCCCTCCAGAGCTTGAAAGAGGTGGCAAATACTTCACGTGTGCCAGATGACCGACTTTTGCACCTTCTGTGTCAGAGGACAACTACTGGAGAGCGCCGCGCGACAAAAAAAGTGACTTTGCCAGAATCTGCTGATGGTGTGTCGGACCGAGTCATTAGAGTTTGAATCATATTGGTGTTCTGAGAAGTTGGCGTGCACCCTGCAAAAGTAACCTAATCGGTATCTGCCGTCTTTGATCTGCTGGCCAAGGATGGTGCTGGACCATCGGAGCGCATTTCGCGCCTCAGTTTTACTGGCGTGTGTGATAATCTGCAGTAACGTGCTATGTCCCGTCGGTGCCTATCTCTACAACAACCGCTACGCAGGGTGAGTAAAGACCCCCATTCATTTCTGGGGCTCACGAGAGCTCTCATTCTGCAGGAAAAGCCCACTGTCGCTATCAGAAGAAGTTTTTCTACACACCAAGAGACGGGCTTTATCTTTAGTTGAGAGTATGGAGAGAATGAACAAAGAAAGCCTTTATGCCCCCCATCTTCTTCATCGTTTTTGAGACATATTTCCAGTTTGAGACATAATATAACGTTCTCAGTTTACTCTAGACTGATCTTGTTGTATGACGGCATTTGGATAAGACGGTATTGTGATGTGCTGCAGAGAGGCATTCAGATTGCTCGTGATATGCACAGATGACACTGAGAATCCTTGCAGCACCAGTGGCCTGTCAAACTGCTCAAAGTATTCATTTCAAAAATTATAGCTGTAAGAAGGCAGCAACTCCAGACTACATTTGTGTAATTGTTCTAATCACAAGAGAGGACAAATGTGTTACAACAGTGTTTTTTGTCAAACTGTCCTTCTACATCAGGCTGAATGTGGGACACACACCTCTCTAACAGTAGCTGCACTCAGGATTTGACCTTGGTGTGTGAAATATGAGCAATTGGACAAATAGGCTAAGGTATCCAATGGGACCACTTGGATAACACATATAGTAATTTGGGGCATGACTGGGGCATGTAAGGATTTATGGTCTGCTTTCAAAAGACCTTTTGATATCATTTAGCGGCAAAGGGAGACCACCTCTGCTGGAAACCCCCTTCCTCGACTGTCCTAAATAACATATATTTTGGATATACTCCATAAATTGTGATCCTCACACCAAATCTGGTTTGACACAAAAAATCCCAAAGTGCAACATTGTGAATCAAAATAAGTAATCAGTAAATCAGTAATGTGGTGTGTGTGTGTGTGTGTGTTTGCGTTACTCAGCCCTTACAGTGAGTCCTCAGTCTTCAATAAGAAGACCAAACATGTAAAACAATGTAGTTCATTAACAGAGCATTTTGACATTGATGATGAATGGACTGTATTACATCATGAAAACACTACTGAGAGTCAACATCTTGATTTAAGGACCAGATTTTAAACAGCAAATTGCTTCCATCCATAGAGAGAGTACGTCCGTGGGAATCAACAGACTGACAACTTAAGGACAGCTTTAGCTCAGAAAGCCCAGCAGCTGGTAATGTTGATGCAAAGCAAAAGGCTTTTGCCAGGCCAACACTGTAACGAAAACAATCCGTCGTCTTTTAAGGGGGAAAATGGTTCAGTTTGAACTACAGACACTTTATTTTCTCAGGGACAGTGTGCATGGTGCTGAATGCACCAAAACAAAAAAGTCCTATAAATTTGATATGGGAACACACATTTCTCTGATGTTTCCGACAGAGAGAATATATCATACTGCAAGCTTGTTTTTGAAGTTTGAAATCTGTCTAGATTCACAATACTGGTTTTAATCAGTTTCCCCAATTTCTCATTACATCCCAACGGTATTTTTACCTCCAAAAGCAAGGCTTTGAAGTCCATATTCTATCACCGCTGTTGCCAAGTTAGGGGTTGTTGATTGGTATTGTGTTCACTGAAATGGGGTGGCTACTCACACGGGACACCCTGGACACTTTTGTTCCTCAGCATGGCCTATTGCCACCTTTGTTTAGGGGGCCCAACTTCCTGTGCGACACATTGCAAAAAGCTCTTTGAAATAAGCGAAACATTAGAGATGAAGACACCAAGAGAGAGGAAGAAAGAGGTTTAGAAAACATTAAAGTGGACGCATACCCAACCTGGCAGACAGACAGGTAACTGGGCTGACACTGAGAGTCCATAATTAAGAGGCTGCAATGTATTATTGGCAGCGTGTTGGTTTTAAGGCTAAACCCCAGGAAGTGTAATCTGCAGAGTAAAAGCAACACTATGTAAGATTCATGATGAGGATAAAGAGTTGTTGTGTAGCACGGCTGTATAAAAGATCTGGTTTGCAGATTGAGTTAGAAACGCTGTCAAGCTTCTCTATTGACTTACAGTTTGTGTTTCAATGATCTGCCAAGACCAACATGTGAATAATAATAATACTGTGTAATGTCTTTTATATTGAATTATAACTAATGTATTCTACAACAAATGAATTCAGCTTTTCTCTGCAGGTGACTCAAATTAAATTCTTTTTGATTCTTGTTTAACAAAATTAAATTAAGTACTCAAAAGCAGCAAAAGCAGCATTGTTTTTATTCTGACCACAGGTGCTTAAATACAGTTTACTACAGCTTTTTTTAAGCCTCATCTCATTAATGAATTTTGACTAAATAAACCCCAAAAGTGGACCATGCAACACCTTGTACAGTGTCTCTGCCTTCACATTACAGTATTGTATTCATGAATGATTTATTTTCTGTGTATAAACACCACACATTAATATGACAGAAAAAAACAGATCTCGGCAGTCAGTCTGATCTATATATATGTGCCTGTTGCAATGTCAAACACATTGAAGTACTTGATGATACTTCCTAATTCAAATTATTTATTTTCTCCTCAAGAAAAGTTGAATGCTAGACTGTTCACATGTAAGCAGGTGTTTTTCACATCTATCTACAGTCTCAGCCTGCATTTCAGTATATGATTGATGTATTTACCGTATGAAAATGTCAAACAGCTGCTGCTACTGTATCTGCTAAAGAATAGTTCCAGGTGGTACCTGCAGAGCTGGAAACGATGAAACATAATCCTTTAATGATGTCTCACACAGATTGTTTGACTGGGGTTTGGCCCTGTCATCTATAGGACTCTAAAAGAGGAACCACCCATTTTAGCCATCAAACATCTGCTATTATAAGTGTCACCTTCAATCAGCACAAAAGGAGGTTACATTACCTGTGACTTCATGGCCCAAATGTTTTTGAAATCATGTGCACTTAGTGAAAATGGAGCCCTGTTCACAGTTACAGTGAATTTTATGGCTGTAAAATCCCTTTTGGGGCACTTTCATTCCAGTAGTAAGCCGACACTTAGAAGAGCTCTGTTGTTTTTTCAGTGATCAAGTCTTCAGGATAATGCCGGGTAATGATGAGGAGGTGCAACTGCTCAAGAAAATTCTGGGACATATGAAGGTTGGCACATAAACACACACACAAACTCACTGCTCACTATTCTGACTTATTTACTGTAAATTTCTCACACACCATTTGAAATAATTTCACTCAAAAATCTTTTGTTTCATTGTTTTTTGTTGTTGTTGTTGCTAAATGCCACATTAAAATGTAATTTCATGTTGTTATTCTGCTCACACCGGCCGGCTTATGTGGGCTTTCTATGACACTTGTACAGCAGTCACAGACAGAGTGGTGAAGGTGGAATGATGTGACAGAGGGCTGGGGAGAGCGATAAGCAAACAGAGAGACAGGGAGCAGCCGAGTGTGGTCATCTTACACAGTCAGGACATATTCCCTGTCTGAAACACTGAGATACTGTTGATAGGATGCTTTGTATTTGTTTCAGTGAGAAACCCCAGGAGAAGAATGGGGGGAATACAAAAGTTTTTCTTCATAATGATGCTGGATGTTTGGAAACTATATGAACATGTGTTTTGAAGATACTGAAATTAGGGGGGAAACCCTGGAGGACACAAAGGCCTCGCCTCTTTTCCCAGACTCATTTGGGAGTAATTACCCATCAGCCTCAGGAGCATGGGTGACCTTCCGTTGCACATTGTTTTAGTTTGCATAGATTATTTCTATCTGTCCATCCAGGGACATCTCTATCCATTCTGTCCATAGACAGACAAAATATCCACGCATCAATACCAGCACTCGCAGGTTAAATCGGAGCCCCATATGTCAAAAAATCTCAACCATCCCTTTAAATAATAGAGGGAGTGCAATCTTCACATTTTTATGGTGATAAAACAAAGGGTAATGAAGGGCCGTACCACTGAGGTCATGTCCTCTCTATATTTTCGTTGAGTTTGGGGGGTTTAGCAGCCACCAAGATTTCCATTCTACAGTTAAAAACGTACACATTTACAGGCTGATTCCATTATTTTAAGACTAAATAAATTAAAGTCATCGTAGCGTAGAGGGCTATGAAATAATCTCAACACAAGGCCCACTTACTAGCTTTTTCAGAGCTCTCAACTGCATCTCTGTTTTAGCAGCCTATTTTATCCTTTATTACCATCTCACACTTCATTCTATGTCTTTTTCCTAGTAGTTTCCCTAAGAAGTTTCCTGGATAGAAGTTTGTATTAATTATAGGAAAAATAGAGACAAAGCTCTGCGACTGTTGTTTTAGTTAGGAGTTTTGTTGAGTTTATGTAGTTGTTATGTAGTAATGTTCGGAGCAAAAGACAACATAATTGCTAACAGCTATTGAAAAATAAATATGAAAAGTCCAATTAAAACATTTCTGAGACTTTCTTTGGGAGGGTCGCAGAGATTTCACTCTCAGAATTTCTCAAATCCTGGCTACAGCCCTACAGTGTGGACCGTTTCTCCAGTTTGGTCTGGTCCGCTTGGATTGTACTTGTGCAGCCACATGGCTCATTAACAACATATATGAAAGGCATCTATTAAGGTTCATGTCAGGCTTTTGTTTAGTGGTCCAGAACCAATACAGCTTAGAGCAGGGAAAGAACAGAAGAGGTCAAAAGAGGATTCAGGAAATGTTTATGATTAGTTTTGAGGGATACCAGGAGAGAGCCAAGCCGATGGTCAGGACCTGGCCGGAGTTTTATGTACGTAAGGGCAGTGGACACGGTGCTCCAAGGCCAGCCGAGGCAGTGGCAGCTAGTGTTTGGACAGCTGTGGACTTGTGTTTTCAGTAGCTTAGCCACACTGCCATGCCTCCAGTGCCAGAGTCAAAGTTTTGTGCCTCAGGCTATGGCATGAGGTCAAATAATAAACAACTACTGTACACTACAGAATATATAATATAATAAAAAATACAAGAGAATCAAGAATCAGATCGATAATCAACAAAATAAGGCATTTCTTCAAGTAATAATCCAGGATTTTAAAAATTTTGTTTGGCTATGCTTTATTGTTGATTGACATAACATGTAACCTTTATTTTATATTTGCCATTCCAAACATCTGGTGGATAGATCATTCCCAAGAAAAATCCTCTGGTATACAGGAATCAACGTGCTCTGCATTTCTAGAAGCAGCAGCAGCAGCAACAGTTTAGGATAAATTGAAGCAGTCTAAATGGTAGATTGAATGAGCTGTGAAAGCCACCATGAATGAGAGTCTGATCTGCATTAACAGGTAATACAAGTTTAAAGTAAACTTAACAGTTCTGTATAGACGTACTGTTTGAATGGCAGGTGAACTCTGGGCAACCTGGAGATATAAAGACAACAGAATCCTGAATGCACCCAGTAGAGCAAATACCTTCACCAAAGCTACGCATTGTCAAGATAAGGTGTTATTATATGCTTGATTTTCACAAAAAGTTAATAATTACTTTTGTGCGTCATTGTGATCACCACTTCAGCTCCTGGAGAACAAATTTATGGCTGTTAATCCCAGCAACTCAGTTAATCAAACATATGTTTTTAACATCTATATCATCATCTATAAAATAGTGAAAAATGTCAACATGTGATGGCCTCAGATTGCTTGTTTTGTCTATTTATTGCCAAACACCCCAAAAGATGTTCAGTTTATTATTATGAAAGAAAAAGAAAAGAAGCAAATCCTCACAATAGAGAAACTGGAATTAGGTATTATGTGAAGTTATAGTCTCAGAAAATTAATTCATTATCACAAAACGTTGCTGATTATTTTTCTATTGATTGATCAGGTATTTGTTTCAGAGATTAAACTGAAACAAATAGAAACCTCGAGTGGCTCCATGTTGTTTGAGGGGAGCAGTGTCTGTTTCCTTTCCTCTTTCTCAGAAGATTTGCTTGAGAAACTCGCACAATTCAATCTGTGAAACAGATGTACTAATATTTTAGTAAAATCACCATGGCTGCTGTCGTCACCTCCAATGAGTTATTCCATTATTTACTGCCTATGGAACAGTTTCAGGACATCACCCTTACCGTCTGTCTGTTTTGCTGTTGAGGAGAGACTTAAACTGAGCTTTTCTGTATTTAACATTGGGTGGATTTTCTCTTTTAAAAGTTCATCCTCACTTCTTGATGCATGACCAATGTGCAGATCAGTTGACTTGATTCAAATTTGTTTGACTGACCAAACAGGCATAATAATCTGCCCCTAACTAAAATACGCCTATTTGCTTTCTTGCTGAGAGTTAGATAATGCAGTAAACATGAAGGAGATGCTACCCCTCTCAAGACCACAGTCTTCTCGTTAAATTTAGTGTCATGAGTATATAATATAATATAATATGTCACTTATGCCATTTATTTTCAAAAACCGCATGTCTAGCAAATAACAAAACAATTCAACTGCAAAAAGGACTTGTGGCTTTGTGTTTATACAGCAGTGGTTTCCAAACTTTTTAAAACCACAGCATGCCTTGAAAATATGAATTTATTTTCCCATGACGGACTTTTAGCTCTATTTACACTTGAAAATTCACACGCCAGAGAGCAGTTTCTGTTACCATGACAACCAGCAACCCCGAGCTGTCATGTCATTAGCCATACCCTACAGTAACTGCATTATGGTGAAAGGAAATTTTTTTTTTATAAAAATGCACCATGGAGAGAAAAAAGGACAATTAACCAATCTTGTGCAATCTCGTGGCCCCAGAGCCAGCAGCCAGTTAGCTGGAGGACTAGAAAATGTGGGGAACTAACTTCCAGGGGTCTCTGCTGGCTATCAACATGTTGACAACCGAACTTCAGGAAGTCACCGTGAGGCCAGGAAATAAGCTGGCACATAAACACCCCGTAAAACTACAACTTGCTGTTATAGTAGAGATAAAACAAACAAGATACGATGTGTTAATGAAAGAGCTGCAGAGGTGCCAGTAGGCAGATTTTGTTACCTTTGGACAGAGCCAGGTCAGCTGTTTCCCCCTATTTCCAGTTTTTATGCTATGCAAAGCTGCTGGCTGTAGACTCATATTTACTACACAGAAGTGAGAGTGATGTTGATCTTCAACTCTCAGGAAGAAAGGCCTGTTCCTTTTTATATCAGAGCATCCAGTCTCGGGCTATGAAGCATGTGAGCCAGCTAGTGAGATTCAGAAAACGTACAATAGGTAGATCTGTTGTGGTCTGTTTTACTTTGGTGAACTTGTTTTCTTTTACTTGACATATAAACATTGAAACATATAAACGCAAGCAGCTTCACCTCATCTGCCTTAAGTAAAGCCATTCTATTTTTTATTAAACTATAACTTTTCCTTTCTTGTTCTGCCCATGCCAATATTACATCCACCAAAACAACAAAAACTGAATTTATAGCTACCCTGTATACAGACACACAAACAGCAAAAGATTTATAATGCAGACAAAGAATGCCTCTTTAGGGCTCATAAATGCAGCTATAAAATTTTAAATTGAGAGTATTGTTTGTGAGGAGTTGTGTTATCTGGTCTGGGATATTTAAGTGCCTTTTAGGCATCTGTGTTTTGGATTTGTTTGGCTTACAGAAGAGCAGTGCTGAAACATTTGGGGTACTTAACCATTTGGAAACCCCACAGAAGTGCAGAGCGGTTTATACTCGAGGGCACCATACATTCCAACTGAAGAGTTTCTACCCCTCTGGCTCTAACCAAAGTTAAATTAATCTGGTATGCATTCTGTAAACCATTAAACCAATTGACACATTAACAAGCATGTGTGCCAGCCTGCATGTCTCTGCCCCCATGCAATAGTAGAAAATCAAAGCCAGCTGAGGGCGTTCACACATGTCTGCACACTCAGGAGCACTGAATATATAGTATTCTCTTTGCTGTCACTACTGTGTGTATCATTTGCAGATCAGCATTTTCCTATTTACTCAAAAATTCTTCTCCTTTCTTTTAGTTTCTCTGCCTCTCTCTTGTTATTTTATCAGTTTCCACATGGTGTCTGTGTTTATATAGTTGGCTAGCATAGCCAGTGGGCTGTCTGTTTCAGCTGAGGCTAACAGACCTGACTATCACGGTTTGATAACAGCCGCTGAAAGACTGGATTTCTTTTGCTAATATGAGGTCGAACAGTAGAGAGGAAAGCAGAGGGAGAGTAATTTCACTGCGAGTTGTTAATGGGAGTCAGAGTGTGTTTTGCCCCATTAACGCTTGCAGTCATCAACATTCCCCTGATTTAGTCCATCGCTTGAAGGTAGAGATGAGAGGAATGTTAAACCGTCCAGGTCTTGGCAAAACATCTCGGTCATCATCACCAAACGTTTGGAGCTGTTTTAAACACCCAGAAGATAAGATAATAAGGTCGTTCTTGGGGTCAATTCTTTTTCTGAGACATATGTTCCTTAACCCTTAACTTCAGTTTTGTTTAGTTGAATTACACACACCTACAGTATACATGTCAATGATGAAATAGTTATGTGTACTGTGTTGTTTTTTATATAAAGAGAAAAGATGGCAGTCCTTGGATACATGCTGGATTGGTATCTGTGTCAGTGGTGACCTTGTTAGGTGCGTTGGCCAGTGTTCACCCAGAACACAACAGATCCACGTCAAAGATAGATTCATGTCATTGTTATTGCAAAATTCAGCGTTTTTTTTTTTACAGATTGCAGATTTTAAATTTAGGAAAAACAGAGCACTGGTTCTTCTTTTTGTTTTTGTTTTATCAGAACTGGTATCGATCGATAGAGAAAAAGTGGGATTGTTGTGTCTCGGCAGCATCATACATCCTTCATCAATAAATTCACACCAAGTCAGACAAAAAAGGATAAATAAAACAACAAATCAATCATTTACCATCAACCCCTCTCATTACGGTTGGGTGATAACAAAATACAGTGTACCATGAGACAGCTGTAAGAAATGTTGCCATACTGTTTGCACCATGGTAGCTATCCTTTTAGTATCTCTTGGTGTATTAGGTCTTTGAGGGTTGAAAACCAATGAGCACTGCTACTGTATGGATCAATATTGGATTTGTGTATGATTGTTGCACAACTATGAGTAAGTATTTTTCCATGTCAGGAATTGAATTTGCTGGATTAGCCGAAAAACACTCCTCTCAGATTATTTTTGTCCCAGAAACAGCTTCCCAGTTGATTTTCCTGATGATGTATTATATCACGAAATATGCTGATATTGAAAATGATAACGTATTTTAGCTTTATCACCCACTCCTACCCCTTATTGAAAGATCCTGCTGGGTGTTTGTGTCTCTGTAACCACTGATCTAATACATTTGTGCTGTTCCTTTAGGTGGACTTCTGGCAGCCCAACAGTGCTACTCTAATCTGTCAAAATGCCACTGTGGATGTCCATGTGAAACTCAATGACACGCGAGGTTTACATGCGCTCTTAAAGGAGGAACATATTGACTATCGGTAAGACTGGAGTGACCACCGGCCGTAAATACTGAGACATACTGCAATACACATGCAATCTTGCTTGGTTACTCTCACACATTTGGTGATATTGTTAGCAGAGCTCCTAAACCCCGAGACACATCTGTTAGCCAAAGGGTGTTGCAATTACCCAGCTTTCCGCTGCCAGAATATATGATTTGCACATGCAGTCGGCCATAGTTTGCATGTAAAATACCTCATACTTCCTCAAAGCTGGGACACACAAAAACACACAGTACATCAGAGCCCCTCTCCCAAGCTGCTCCCTTTCATCTCTCTACCCCATCCCTCATCAAAATTAACGTTGAAATGATTGAGTTTTATCAAAGAAGCCACAGCGGCAGCTAGAAAGAATTCCATTGTCATCTATGTCCCAAGGGAGGAATTGCAGATCCGAGGATGAGTTTTCCCCCCCCATACTCTGTGTTGATTGACTGAGGATTTTTCAGAAATGGTTCACACAGCAGGGGAGAGTCTTTGGTCGGTGGTTAGGTTTTGAAGGAGTGAGGCATCAACAATTTCATTTTAATCTCACATGTTTTTTATTGTTCTTGAGGTAGTTATGGATACCAATGTATTTATAAGGACCGTATGATGTATTTTAGGAGAGTATGGGGGTCTACATAGCTGCTATGAAAAGAGATCACATCATCTGTTTTAGGTTGGAGTGGAACGTGAAGAGGCATAGTGTCTGATCAGTCTTGAGAACAGTACTGATAGACTGCAGTGGCATAACTAACTGTCAAACAGGGTGAGTGCTGATATAGAAAACAGGTTTGGATGTTGGAAAAGAAGAGGATGAGTGAGAGCAGTTGCATAATGAGTGTTAGGAATGAGTCAACAGCAAATCCAGGACCCCTGATCCACTGCTTCACACCAGCCCTCGGCACCTATGAGACATATTCTATTCACTTACAATGCAGTGACGCTACAGTAGCAAATTATTAAACGGGAACATCTGCAAATGTTATATTCTCACATCAAGTTGGAGTTAACGTTGTGGGCAGAGACACAGACATGTCACCTGTGCAGAAAACTGAAACACCAAAGGACATTTCTCTTACGCACTCAGAAAGCCACTGAGAAACCATCAAACCACCAAATTAAAGATATATATAATTTATATTACAACCACATCAGAGGCCCAATGCAATTATTTTACATGCTATACAAGTCATTACTTTTACAGTAGCAATATGGGTACCGCTTTCTAATTAACCATATTTTGTAAAGGGTTTATTAATGACCATTAACTAATATTTAAATTCATTTAGATGAGAAATAAGTTATTCATAAGAACAATAACAACATTTATGTTGCCATGTTGTGAAACACACTTGTCACGTGACCAAAGTTTCACACAGAAAAATAATTAAAAGCAACTATTCTGACAAACCGACATTTTTATAGCAAGAGTAGTGTCAAACATTCCTGCTTCCAGCTTTTTCATATGTGAAGATTTGCTGCTTTTCATTGGCATATATATCATTGTAAATACATAAATGTATAAAATGGACATTTGAAGACATCACCTTTGGCACTGGGAAGTTGTGAAGGATTTCTTCACCTTTTTATGGATTGAACATTGAATTTGGGAAATGAATCAATAATGAAAATAATCATTAGTTGCAGCCCTTGTTGCAAATCCTTCTTGCTTGTTTATATACTCTTCTACCATAATGTGTTTTTGTCTTTTGATTTAGCTCTTTTACTAAATATGCTATTTTTTGGCACATAACCCCCTCTCCACTCTGCTATTATGAATAAATAATAAACTTCAGCTAAACTTCAAAATAAACTAAAACAAACTGCAAACTTTGCTGGATTATTGTAGTGGAAGAACCCTTTTTTAACAATTACCTAACATTTACACAGTAACTTCCAGCCTGATGGTTTATTATGACATTAGGCTCTTTATTATTGGCTCACTCACTCACTGCAAGAAGTGGATTAAGAGCAGTAACCAGGCAACCCAAAGGGCTTATTAATGGCTTAATACCGAGCTTATCAAATTATTTATTGCCCAATAATAAACACAGTACTTACAAATGATAAATATTAAGTATCCATAATTGGAAAGTGGCAGAAATATTGAAGATGCTAAAATTAAAACAATCATTTCTAGGGAACTCATGCTAGTTGGAGACTTTAATGTTAACAGTGAGTATGGTACAGTGGTTAACTCCCTCTCTTCCATTCACAGGGTGTTTATCTCCAATCTACAGAAGGAAATTGAAAAGCAGACGGGATATCGCTCCTTGCGCAAGCGGAGGTCAGAGTTTCAGTATGACTACGAGGTTTACCACTCTCTGGAAGAGGTAGATGTGAAGCCCACCATCTACCTACCGATTTCTCACTCTCCTCTGTTTTCTAATCTAATGCACACACAAAGTGAACAAATATCCTCACTGAGGTTGTTCTCAAACTCCCAATTATTCCATTCCACAGGTCTCTATCCCACTACCTCATGCTCTTACACACAGAGACACGCACTCTACTTCAGACACTTCACAGCGTTAGAGTGGTTTTCATGTTTTAATTTGCCTGAAAAATAAAAATGCAAATTATATCAACCCTTTTTTCCCTCCATGTTTAACTCTTGAAAATGTTGTAAACAAATCCTTGAATGACATTCACTCTTCTACATTCTTTTCTGTCCTTAAGATCCAGAGCTGGATGTTTGAGATGAACAGAACCCGCCCTGACCTGGTTGACATGTTCTCCGTCGGGAAGTCATATGAGGGAAGACCGCTTTATGTGCTTCAAGTAGGAGAGAACGCACGAGACGCACACATGAAAAATGACATACGGAGACACACAGGTGCCTGCACACTAGTGCTACTCTAAAGCTGATGGTACTTGTCTCCTGTCAGCTAGGAAAGAGAAGTCGTCATCAGAAGAAAGCTGTGTGGATCGACTGTGGCGTCCATGCCAGAGAGTGGATAGGACCTGCCTTCTGCCAGTGGTTTGTCAAAGAGGTAGTCTTTTTTTCTTTTTCTAGTCTGCAAATGTAAATATCAAAACACTACTTCTACTGTGTGCATTGTTTGCATCAGTGCGTGTTTCAGCCATGTCTTAACTGGAACACATATCTCAACACAAGCAGTCTGTGATGTTTTGTCCCTGGGATCTGGAACATCTGTTCACTTGCCATGCACGTTTATGAAAATGCTTAAGAATACCCTTTATTGTTCAGATGTTGAACTTAACCCAGACGTTTGCACAAGTTCCAACACGCCCTTAAAGTCTTAGTTAATACACCCTGAAGCGAGGACGGTACCAGACCAGAGCCTGACTTTAACTGCAAGAACCTTTGATGGCTTGTTTTATATTACTTAGATGCCAGATGAGTGGGAGCATAGTGCAACACAATGACTGCCAGAATGTTAAGATAATTAAAGGAAAGCCTATGAATATGAATTTAGAGCACTGAGTCATAGCCTATTTTAAGGACTTCTTTTATTATATACTTCTACTGACAGGTACTAATATGTCAAACTGTAGAAAATTGTTGAGAAAATAACTGCTTCCGCGTGTGCCACTATAAATAAAGTAGTAAAGCTTAGCTTGTCTAGGGTTTAATGGACTGTACCACTTACAAAACAATGTTATGTTGTGCTCTACAGTCATTGTGTTTGCAAATGCTTGCCTTCCAGTATGATGGTTTCATTATAACTTGTGCTTGAAAGAGACAAACTAAAATACATGACTAGTTCACCTTAGGCCATTATACAGACTCACAAGTTCAGAGAGGAATTCTTCAAAGAAGGAAAAAATAATAGGAAGTGAGTGAATAGGTGAGAGAAAAGACAAATAGCAGCATAAAATCAAAAACAGTATAAATGAAGGGAAGAAAAAACAACAACAATGGAAAACATTTGACTCAGGAAAACAGTCAAAGATGCTCCCCTTATCTCAAGCAGGTGCCCTAAAATGTGAACCCACTCAAATGTAGTAACTGAGGTTAGCCACTGGAGGTCAGGGTGCCATCTTTGTTTAAAGCTTAATGCATATTAACCTTGGCCTGAGACTGAGGAAAGAGCAGGTATTAGCCCAGTACCAAGCTCTCCACATCTATAGTGTGAGTATTAACCTACTGCAGCTGTGAATTAAAAACCTGTGGTAGCATGTGTAAGGTTACAAAATAATGAAAACATAACAAAGTATGACTCTACATGTGACCTACCAAGTCAGCTTACAGTAGCTGACTGGTCCAAACAGGTTAGCTTACTATGTGAATGTAAATGTATGTATATTTATAATGCTTATATGAATACCCTACTGAATAGATGTGTAATAAAATGTCAACGCAATATTTCAACTACTTGATTTAATGTGTTCTCCATAATGAATGCAAAAGGGGAAAAAAGTCAAACCATTAAAGATTTGGTCACAAAAATGGAAGAAAAACTAGCACAGTATTTACATGCAGTTGTATGATTAAACCACAATCTAGATCTGTGTCGTCAGTTTAGTATGCTCTATAATTATACTGTTTTATATCATAATTTAAGGCCCTCAACTCATACCAGTATGACTCTGTGATGAGACGACTGCTTAACCAGCTCAACTTCTACATCATGCCCGTCTTCAATGTGGATGGATATCATTTCAGCTGGACCACGGTACTGTAGGTCTTTGCACATATACAATACAGACTAAATCTAGCTGTTGACAACTTTATTTTTCAAACAGCATGAGTACCAATTTAGCTTGTTGTCTTGGAGGGGAAGCTGGTTTTTAGACACAGTTCTACGGTATTCTGATACTTTGTAAAATGCAGGTGCAAGTACATGTATTCAGAATAACAACTGGTAACACATCACTTCATTTGAATATTTTCAAGGCCGTATACTTTATGTTTTGTGTCCAAGTGGATCACAATTTGGACAGTAATTGAAAAATAGCAGAGCAATAACAATGTGATTTTGCTGTTATGCTGCACTTATTTATTTGAAGTATGCCCCTTGACTACTGTCTACATACCCACTCCTAGTAATAGACCAACCAGAGCTGAGTGAGTGACAGATGGATTATTTTGGAGACGTTAGGTAGCTCTGTAATCAATGAGTCTGACCATCACCGGACACACACAGTGTGTGACAGTGTCTTTATTTGTCCCGCAGGATCGATTCTGGAGGAAAACGCGGTCCAAAAATCACAAGTTCCACTGCAGAGGAGTGGACGCTAACAGAAACTGGAAGGTGAAATGGTGTGGTGAGTTTGATAACGCTGAACTTCAGCTGAGGTCTGAGGAAAATCAACAGAATCTCCTTCTCACACTTACATACAAGTACACGGAGACACACACACTGCAAACTTGGCACGGCACTCCTTGTAGTCTGATGGAGTATTTTCTGTCTATTAATTAGTTTAAGCTGTGTATAAAATATTTTTGTGGTGAAAACAATCCGTGTTTAATGTCATTTAGTCTCTGGTGGGAGGTGGCTGGAGGGTTCAGCTGAGTCATCATCCTTACGGGAGGGCCCTTAGAATAAAGTTGAGAAATTTGCAGTACAAACAGACATATGGAGATGTGGTGTGAGTTGAGAAACAGAAAGAAATTGAAGAGCCAAGTTTTGCATTCTCAAAGGAATCTTATCACAAATGGGCTATTTGGGCACTTCATTTAAAAGCTTTTCACTCTTTTCTTAAAGGGAAGGTGCTGTCTGCGAAATTGTATTATTTTTGCATTTGATAATAAACTAGCAGAGAAAAGGGAGTACAGTAATATATTTGGCAGTGTTGTTTGGTAGTTATGTTTATGTGGCCATACAGTACATGTGTGGTTGAGGATTTATACTTGATGACACTTGATAATGGAAATGTTACATATTTATACTTCAGTAATGTACTACTGCATCATTGCATAAAATAGGACATAGCAAGTTCTAAGATAACATTCAGCCTGACTGAAATCCATGCTTACTAATTTACAATATTGACCAACCCATTGCTTTTACTATTTATAGATATGACTTATTTCTAGACTTACTTTGTATGCAAACATCGATGTAGCCTGTGATGTGTGGGACTACACTGTGAAAAGTAACTGGGAAGTAATTCATTTCATCATCATTTTTCTTCAAGTCCTACATTGTGTTCTATTTTATTTGAGATGCTGTTTCCTGCTAATCATTTTGGAACCTTGTCTTTGGCTTCTGTTATCCTTGGCATTATAATGCAACTTTGGTGATTTCAGTCTGTGTCTGCTTGGTCACTGTGTCTGGATTGTGTCCAGAATCTAAAGAGTCTAGATCATAGCCTAACTGAATGGAATATGACCAAATGTTTGATTTGTGCATCCAAATCTGCAGCTTAATGCATCCTGGTGTAATTAAGAGAATGGCATCCCCCCCCCCCCTGTCCTTCCCCAGATGAGGGTGCCTCCTCTCATCCCTGTGATGACACCTACTGCGGTCCCTACCCAGAGTCCGAACCTGAAGTCAAGGCTGTCGCCAAGTTCTTACGCAAGCACAAGAAACGTGTCAAAGCATATATATCCATCCACGCCTACGCCCAAATGCTGCTTTACCCCTATTCCTACAAGTATGCCACTATCCCCAACTTCAACTGTGTGGTAAGAGATCCTTTTCTTGATAATAAATAAACACGACACATTACACTTTATATGAGATAATATTCTTATCCATCACTTTCCAGTGGCCTAATGCATGGTTAAATGTTACTGGAACGCCTTGATATTAAATCCTACTCTGAAGACATATATAGGATCACTGATAACCTCGCCTTGTGCTTTCACTGTCCAGGAGTTAGCAGCTCAAAATGCAGTGACAGCCCTGTACTCTGCATATGGAGTGAGGTACAGATATGGACCTGCCTCCACAACTCTTTGTGAGTACTGTTCTTTTTCTCTTCATTGTATCTTCCAAGTTTAGAAAATGGGACCAAACTGATGAATTGTCACGTCGTACCTGTTGTTTTGTGCTCTCCTTCCAACCTCATCTGTGGTTTCTTCAATTGCAGACAAGGAAAATGGAAGCTTATTTGTGTTAGGAAGTAGGGAGAAGTGCAGTTTAGTCTTAATGTACTGCTTGAGAGGAGCTAAATGCAGAGATGTGGATGTGGCACCAGTAGGAATGAAATGCTTTCAGATTCACGTTGTCTGCAGTGGTGGAAGAAGTATTTAAATACCGGTAATAATAAAGTAAAATAAAGGTAGCAAGAGCACACTCTAAAAATACTGGATTAGAAGTAAATGTCTTGCATTCAGAAATTTTCTTCTATAAAAGTACGGAAGAATTAGCAAAGTACTCATTTTGCAGAGGGATCCTGTCAGTGCTACAATATTATATAATCAGATCATCATTATTTATGTATTGATATGTAAACTGTACTTGTTGTATGTCATTTTGTACTTGGTTAAGGTGGAGCCAATATTTACAACTTTTTATTAAGTGTAACAATGCATCATATTTTATAAACTGTTCATATACGCTTTGTGTGTAAAATCTTAATCTGAAGAGTAACTAGTAACAGAAGTTGTTAAAGCTGGTGGAGTAAAAAGTACATTATTAGTAAAGTACAAGTATCTCAAATTTTTACTGAAGTACTGTACTTTCAACATACAAACAATCACTGGCATTGTTACTGATTTACATTATGAATTATTACATAACAAAAGACTCTTCTGATTTTCTTATTCTGTTTGTGTAACTTTTTCACAGATGTTAGCTCAGGCAGCTCTATAGACTGGGCCTACAGGAACGGGATCCCGTATGCATTTGCATTTGAGTTGAGGGATACAGGATACTTCGGCTTCCTCCTGCCTGAATCCCTGATCAACCCGACCTGCACTGAGACTATGAGGGCAGTGAAGGCCATTGCGTCAGGTCTACTGAAGAAGTGTGAGACAGACAAGGACAGATTTCCATATATATGACTGCACTGCAGATCCCACCGGAGCTCCACCCTCAGTTACTTAACTCAACACCTCATATTCCTCCCAGATATTATCAGGCAAAGAGCAGAATAGGAATAGCAGAGCATAGATTTTAATTTGCGTTTCCTGTTCTTGAAGTTGTTCACCTTATTTTCCTATTCTGATAAGATATGAACTGATGGTGGTGGGTTTTCTGTGCTAGGAGCGATGAATACTACCAGTGACCAGCCTGTTAATATACAATAAGATCCCACATACAGTGTCAGAGAGCATCCTGCTGGATCAGTGGGCCGTTATGTGTCCCATCATTTGTCCCATGCTAATTCTGTGTTGCTCTTCTCTTACAAAAAATAAATAATGCAGACTTCTCCATAATATAAGCTTTTAACAGTCAACGGTGGTAATGTGAGCACTTGCCATGATACAGCAGCACTTTTTTTAAAGAAACAGCTATGGTTTCAATGTCTTCCAAAATGTTTTATGTTAAACTTTCACAAGAACTGTTTTTAAGGAATATAAACCCATCTCTATTTTTATTCTGGTTGCTTTTTATTTTGAAATTAGTCCTACCAAGTGCCAGTTTAGACTTTCAACTATAAGGTTAATGTACTAATGCCTTTATAACTGCAACATTTTGGGTTGTTACATAATATACACCTGACAATGGTTAGGTCTTGAGTTTGGTTTAAATTGAGATGTTATTTTGTTAGATTTTGTTTTTTGGGAAGAATGACCTGTCACTTCAGAAGCTCACCGTGTCGTTACTCAGGTATGGATCAATGACAGAGTCAGAAATGTTTACTTTTGACAGCTTATGTGCTTAATGTGAGATTCTAATAAATATCTGACTTGTTACAATACACCGTAAATGTTTATTTTGTCACATTAACCTCATCTTTCTATCTCTACTCTACTATCTCTATCAATTTTTCTATAATGCACTTGTAGCCCATAGTTTGTACGTTTGTAGGAATGTTTGATAAACTCACTTACCTTTTAAATTAAGCACAACACTTTTAAACAGGCACTATCTTTCAAACATCCTCCTCTTTTTCTGTGATACTCTTTATATCCAGTCTGATTCTGCAGCTCTGCTCTTATTTATGGATTCAGAAATGGTGGAACCGACACATAAGACATCCCAAAGTTAAAGTGAACTCTGCCGCCCACAACTGCCAAATCTGGGTTGTCAAATTGCCAGATTTCCTGGAATGTATTTTCTGCTGGACGTTGCTAAATGTTGCTCAAGGCTGCATAAACCCATGTAGCAATACTAAACATTTAGGTGGACATATTCGTAGGTGAAGTATTAAACAAAATGATGGTAGGTCTATATAAACTGGTACAATGATAGCTGTAACAAGGATAAAGTTATAAATGGACGTCTAATAGTCAAGTCTAATCAAGAAAATGTAGGCCCATCTCCAGAACATCAGACTGAAGCCTGTTACTACCACTCCTAAACTGACTGAAAAATGTTTTAATGTATTGACTAACTACAGAGAACAAAGAAATCTGAGTAATTAATGTTTTAAGATTATTATTTTTTATGACTGTATTGAAGAGGAAAAAATATGCCTTTATGCACGGGTAGGGGTGACATTAAAAATTCAATTAGAGGCTCTCAAGTGGGAAAAATCTTTTTAGTAAATATTTGTGAGGGAGAGAATCAGATTAAGATTGTTTTCAGAAATCCTGCACACGCTGAAGCTGGCATGCTTGGTTGTTTAATTCATAAAATGCATACATTAATGCCAGTTATTTAGCATGCGACTTCAATAAAGCCATATAGGCTTACACGTGAAGCTTAGCTGTAAGACCATACCCATGACACCTCTCCTCTCTCTCTCCCTGCTGCCTCACTGCGGCCGCCCTCAAACGTACGTGACGTCGTTTCCTCTCCAACATGGCGCAGGAGGCAGGTCGTTAATGGAAATCTGAGGGATTTACCCCACCTTCTGTGTTTATTTATGTTTGTCTGTTAGGGACTCTGCGGCTGACATTTGTAAAGGAATACATCTCCATTCGAGGCGGCTGCAGCCCACCTTGGGACCAGGCACACCTCGCCCAAAATTCCGGTGCGACATGTTTGAGGGCAAAAAGACGAAAAACATGTTCCTTACACGAGCTTTGGAAAAGATCCTGGCCGACAAGGAGGTGAAAAAGGCTCACCATTCGCAATTGCGTAAAGCCTGTGAGGTGGCACTTGGTAAGTTACCTTGTTTTAGCATCACATTTTAGCAGGCTCGAGCTCATTGATTTAGACACGTCATGCACCCTTTCACTTGTTATCCGGTTATTCTGCAACAATGTCGCAGTGTTTGGCGACACGGAGTATTTTCCATTCATTAAATACTGGCAGATGATATTGTGTCATTGTCTTGCCTTACAATTCAGCAAAACCTTCGTTTTTAATTGACGTGGCATGGGCTCCGTGGAAATGATTCCGTATAAAACACGGAAATGGTGCAGGAGGGGTGGGTGTTTGCAACACCGAACCGATGCTGCGAAACTAGTAGCGATGTGAGAATAGGCCGACCACTGGATAGAAAACAAAGTTGTTAACGGCTGTATCCGGCTTCAATATCAAGCCCACAACTACACCTCATACATTCGTCAAGTGTAAACTACAACTATTTAAACTGCTTTGTTTTATGTGTTTAATCCCATAAAGGTGAGATGTTTGTGTCTCTTCCTGGTAAACAAGAGACGTAGTCGTGCCCGTTCAGTGCAGGGAGTGTTGGAAGACATTTGTCTTTCATTACATTCTTTTGTTTATAGGCCAGTTTAATCATTCATCAACACTCTGGGTTCTCCTCTTCATCACTGTGTTGTAAAACTACATGTGAAGTCAGGACAGTGAAAGCAGAAGGTGGCAGCTGTCAGTAGCGCCTCCATGCTAGAACAATGTCAAGCTGTCTGAAAATAATACGATGTTATTGCCGGTCAGGGCTAAAATAAAATTACAATTTTACACGTGATACTGACCAGCTTCCCCAAAATATGAAAATACCGAAGTGATATGAAATAAGAACTAATTAATATGACAGACTTTCTCCTCTTATAGGGTGTTTTTTCTCAGCAGTACAAAGCTGTTGTCGCGTTGACCTCGCTTTTACTTTGAAGTCAACATAATTTAATATCCGGTTTTAACTTAACTTATATATGCTAGCTTTATGAAACTATTTGTTAGCAGGTGTATTTTTCGACACAATATTTAGAGCAATTAAGATACAACCAATATTCAAATTGGATCAGAGTATATATAAATTTACCTTTTTATAATACCAAAGATAATTTTTATTTCACATCCCAGACTTTTTAGAATCTGGCCTGTGTCTTGGAACAAGCTGGGGTTTGTCCTGATATAGGGAGTAATACGACACTACCTGAGAAACAATGAGTCCATGTTGGGCAGCAGCCACACATCCTACCTGCCCCAACAGTTGCTCCTTTTATCAGCTCATTCAGCTGTTGTACGGTTTTGCAATGTCCTCCTTGTCTAGGCGTGCTCTGATGTTTTGTAAAACCAACCCACCCACACAAATTATATATTCCTTCCCCCCCACTTGACTATCTGCAGAGCAACAGAAAAAAACTGGGAAAAAAGGTTAGCCTTCATTGAGAGAGGGAGGCTCTCTCTATCATGCATTCAAAGGGAAAATACTCTCTAAATAAGAATTTGCGTAGTGCTGCTCCAGTTGTTTGTGGAGAGTCAGTGTTGTGTCTTTACCTGGGAATAAGAGCAGAAAGACTTTAATAGATGATGTCACCAGTTGACAACCATTGTAGGTAAATTAGTCACTCACCCAGTGGGTTTTATTGAAATGTAGGTCGTCCAACTGTGAGTCAGAATATAACCATAAACCAGTAAAACCATCATGTCTGTCATATGGCATCCTAGCAGTTGTTCCATTATTTAATATTTATGGAGCAGATCCATATATTTTCTTACATAATTACTACAGTCTGTGTCTATGTTACTGATTGTAATTCACCAGTTAACAACGACTTCTGTTTTAGGGTGTAATTTTCCGTAAAGAAAATCAGTATTAGTCACGGTTGAGGGTCTTCTCAGGTCAGAAAAGGAAAGAATAATATTCAGGAAAAACCCTGTTCAATAGTACAGTGCAAAAATGAAGTTGTGGTACAACATCTTATCATAATTACTTGTCTGTGCTGACTTCACATTGAGGCTCAGTCATACCCTAAAAAAAATCTAAATGAGAATCTCTGCAATGAGCATAGTAGCACTACAGTTGTAGTGCATATCAAAAACAACTGGGTGACCTAGTATACTGAGTGACTTACATAATCCCCTCTAGCTCTTGGGGCGCTGAGACATCTCAGAGAGAGTGCCTGTGCCACTGAAAGTTGACACTGTTCATAACTAAGTATTGTTTGGAGCGTTCCCTTTATTGTTGTAGCCCATTTATTTTTTTCATTTGCAGCAGCCCCTGGTAGGGAATCGCTGCAGGGTTTTAATGTATGGGAATGAGGTATGAGGGTCTGGCTAATGGTGCTTTCAGACCAAAAGCGAAGTGAGCGTCGGGGTGGTGAGTTTACATACAAAGTCAATACAAAGACTCGAAGAGCCGCGATTTCCTGTCGGGTGGCGCGAAGCGATGCGAAGGGGGCGGGGCCGGCGATGCAAAGGCAACGCAAAGGAATTCGCATGTCACGCAGAAGTCTCATGACGCTGAGTCGCGATAGCCTATCAGTGTTGAGATTGACCGTAAGTTACCGAGGCTTCAGTGCGTTGTGTGGAGAGGGCCAGGCAGAGCAGGTGACTGAAAATCTGCTGGCCGGCTGAGAGCTGCTAAACGTGGGGGAGAGAAGCAGGGAGCAGCGCTGCAACTATTGGACAAATAAACCCCCGTAGTCGGATTCTGCTCTGACAACTACGCCGTTTACTCGTGGGAGGAGCTCGGAGTTAACTGCTTTTTACTTTAGTTTTTGGGATTTCAATGTTGATTTATCTTCACTGGAGCTTCTCAGCAGCTAGGTTCCGTGCACATCCGGTTCCAGTGTTGTTGTTAGCGTCATTAGCTCTGTCGGACTAGGACTTCATATTTATATAAAAACCAATTTAGCATAGAATAGCCCTGATCGATCCGAACTCCATTCAGAAAACAGACATTTTAGAAGTTGTTATCCTGCTGTCTTGCTGACATAGCTGACAAAGCATGGATTCATATGTTTAACAAATCTGCATCATGTTGTAGGTATTTTGGCATCAGTTTAATCTGTTTATTGCTATTTAATCACAGCAAAATGTTTACTTTGGGTTCACACAGTTGTAGTAAAGACGAGTTGTGTTTAGTCACGTTATCGCCTTAAAATCGCCTTCTCGCGTTGTGTGTGAACACTTGCAGCGAATGTACTCACGCGAGGAAAGCGTCGCGAGGCAAAAATTCGCGGTTGGTCTGAATGCGGCATAAGGCTACCTTGACCAGTCGTCCCTCCTCGCTCCTAAACTGACCTTTCTCTTGGAGTATCAGAAAGTCACTCGGCAGCAATTTCCCAAAAAGAACACCATCTAAATTTCTCACACACTCTGAACCGCAGGGGTGCAAGGTCGTATTATCTCTGGATCACACCGTCTGCTTCTTTGAGAGGAGCTGTCTGATGGAGAGGAACAGGGAAGGGAAGACTGACGGTTAACTCAAAATATCAAAGGTTTTACATGTCCACCACCTCTCAGAAGTAAGAGACTTTGGGTCATTGTTGCCACACGCTGCTAGCTTCCTATGATACTGGCTTTGTGGATTGTCCCATTGTTTTATTTATTCAACCTGTCCTCTCTGACTTGAGAGTGAGTCATACTGTGAATGTAACAAGCTAAATCAGGGGACTCTGT